AAGCGTGCCTTTTAAAAAGGCGGGCGGGACGCGGGAAAATGCGTTGGAAGGCGGGTGTGTCCCGCCAAAAGCGGGACGTCTGGTCACCTTACTTGTACTGGCTGTTAGGAAAGGGCCCAGACCCTGAAGCGCTCCACTGTCTTTGAACAACATCCAAAAATAATTTGGGAGAAGTGCCGGTTCTGAAAAAAGTGGGTCTGAGGACTCTCCCAACCCAGAGGGGTCGGATTGAGGGGTTGAACTAGACCCCATATTGGCAGCCTTTTTTGCCTTAAAGAGCAGGGACCTGAAGAGGGCTGGCTTAAAGAACCCCACAAAAGCAGGTTGATCGGGAGAAAGGCCTTCATCCTGTTATAAAAATATCCCTATATAAAAAACAAAGGGAAACCACAGGCAATAAATCTTACTTTAAGATCAGAGGTTTATTGTTTCATGAACAATTTTTGAACATGAATAGCAAACATAGCATTATTTAGATTAGCAACTTATTGCAATAAGGTCCACTGTCATAGCTGAATCCAGCAAGGATTAGCTACAGCCAGTGGCCCTGAACTCTTCCCAAGACAACATTTTTATACTTCTCTGCACGCATTTCACAACTTACTTCCTTGTTGTGTCTTACTGACTGTCACTCTCTGCAAACACCTGTGTACATTTGAAGTTCTCAGACACTTGTTACTTTCAGCTCCTCATTTCCCACTGTCTCATTCTTCCTGTTCTAAATATATCCATACAAAGTACAAACTGCAGAAAATGCAGACAAAAGTCGGCAGATTTGGAAATATTAGTCTGGTACATTTTGCAATGATATTAGTTTAAAACTTTGGTTCAGTGAGGTCTCCAAACTCACTCCTAGGCCTATTACCTGCAACTTTCCAATCAATATTTTCTCCCCTCACAATCCTCAGAGAGCTCCGAATCCCTGCTGACTTCCTCTTCCTCCTCGTCAGAGAGAGAAGACCTACTCGGAGACCTATCTGCTCGCCCAGTCAAAAGCAGCAAAAGTGGCCGCTCAACTGGCCCCTGCACAGGTTTGTCCCCTGATTCCCTATCAGTTGGAAACATCCATGTCCAAGCCATCCTATGCTAAGGAGGAAAAAAAAATGGGCTCAAGAACTGAGAGCCACTTGGTCCCAAAATGGGTGGTGGAAATTAGGACAAAGGGTGGTGGAGCCTAAGGTTCCCCTAAGAGCTTTGCTGACCCAATTACACAAAGACACACACTGGGGGGCTAAAGTGCTAGCTGATTTTACCACCTGATACATGCTGGCAAAAGGCACATATGCCATCGCTAACCAAGTCGCTGCAGCCTGTCTCCGTTGTGCACAAAACAACCCAAAGACAGGATGGAAACTTCCTTTGGGAGTCCTTCTACAAGGCTCATACCCAGGTGCTGTGTGGCAAATAGATTTCCCCCAATTTCCCTGGCAACTGGGAATTAGATATCTCTTGGTTTTGGTCTGTACTTTTTTGGGTGGGCTGAGGCTTTTCCATGCCATACAAACAAAGCTAAGAAAGTAGCCCGCATATTACTGAAAGACATTGTGCCAAGATTTGGGGTCCCTTTGTATATGGCCTCAGATTCGAACCCATACTTCACAGCTCAGGTGACACAAACTGTTTCCCAGGCTCTTTGAATTAAGTGGAAACTTCACGCTGTTTATTCCCCACAGAGTAGTGGTTTTGTTGACTTGATTAAATGGCAGGTATCCAAACTCTGTCAGGAAGCCCATCAGCACTGGCTGCAGGCCTTTCCCATAGCATTGTTACTGCTCAGAACTGCCCCACGAAAACATAGTAACCTTACTCTCTTTGAACTTCTGTATGGACATGCATATCCATTCGATAGAATAGGCGGGGACGCTATGCATTCAGTGGGGAAGGAGACCCTCCATCAATATGTGAGCCAGCTCGCTGGGGTTGTGAATTCTCTTTCTCGTTACATGCAAGAAAACAAACCCTTGGGCCTGGACCATCCAGTGCATTCCTTTCAACCAGGAGACTGGGTCCTAGTGAAATTGTGGAGGCTCGACTCCCTGCTCCAGGAGAAGTGGAAAGACCTATTCCAAGTGTTGCTGACCACTTATAGTACCCTGAAGCAGTGGTGGGTTTCAAAAAATTTTGGAACCCCTTCTGTAGGTGTGGCCTGCTTTCCGGGTCCACTGGTGGAACTTCTTCTAACCGGTTCGGTAGATTTGACGAACCGGTTCTACCAAATAGGTGCGAACTGGTAGGAACCCACCTCTGCCCTGACTCAGATTTCTTTTAGCTGACCTTTATCCTCCTTGCAGATTTTCCTCCCCCTTTGCAAGAGGATTCCTACTGCATTTTTCAATATGTAATCAGGTGATAAGTATAGGTTGATGCTTAGCCACCTGTCACATTTGCTAACAGTCACAGGTAGGCAGATGCTTCATGCCTGATACCATGTCAGTTTAATTATTTATGAGCATGTACCTACTGCATGTGCCTACTGTGTGTGTGTGTGTGTGTGTGTGTGTGTGTGTGT